TATGTGTGTGTGTGTATGTGTGTGTAAAATGTATATATGTATGTATGTATTTATGTATTTATGTAAGTATACGTAGTAATATGTTCATGTATGTATGAATATATGTAAGTATATATTTATATTTATATACATGTATTTTTTTTTGTGCTTTAATGTATTAATGTATTTATGTATCCAAGTCTTGTACTTTTGGGGGGTGAAAATATAAACGTGTTACTGGTATTTCTGTCGGTGGCGAGTGCTGATAGTGCGGGTACGGAGTATGGTGCAAGACTTATAATTGATGCTAACAGAAACTTACAGGCCGAGGGATGGTTTGGGTGTAGTTTATGGTATCAAAGTGAAGTATTGTTGTGTATTCGTACGGACGATAACTCAGGCGATGGAAATCGCAAACGAGACCGACTAGAGGATAACCGCTTATAGCATGTGTGTTCGTGTACAACTTGTACAACTTAAGCGAATCTACAAGTTTAATCCTTCGTGCAAATAGACCAATACTACTTGGATACTTTTTTAATATGATAGGGATTGCAAGTGTACAGATTTACTCACACACAATAGGTTTCATTCGTGTATGTGCAGCTGTTTCGTTTGTGATCTGGTATATCTTGAATTTGAGGTCTGGAGCTTTGAGTTGAGCAACTGTTTATGCACATAACGGCCAATTTTGTCAGCTTGTATCGCAATAGATTCTTTCTGATTTGAGCTCACGATGGTATACCAATCCCTTCAACGACACACGGAAAAGACCATGAACATTGATACAAATGTGTGTGTTCATACGTTTATCTTATGTGGATGAATATGCCATTCACCTCGGAGGATTCGCAATCTCATAATGATTTTGTGAACTGAGCGACCGACATTGTACTTATACGCAGCTACCATCAAGGCGCTTGTGACGAAGCTTTCGACCGAAAGCAAGGACAAGGAGCTACGACCCATTCTAGAACAGATAGTGTCGATGGCAAAGGTGGAGGATAGTTCACTAGACCTCTTCAACGCTGACTATCTCGAGTGGTATGTTTAAATTGGTAACAATCAACTGACCGTGTATTTTAATCAAGTATGAAGTATAACGAAGCAAGTGTAGGATACTTATGGCATCTCTTTTTTTTGCTCTATACATACATGTCTTTCAATTCTAGTGAATTGTCCTGGGTGAGTTTTTGCGACGTACATGTGTTGTCTTTTAGTCTCCGGCCTCTGTCGTATACAATTGTATTTCCAAATATCTCAAAATAGATTGTTTGTTTGTTTGTTTGTTTTTTGCCAATTCAATGCATCTATAATTAGATTAGGTGTGTCAGGAGCAGCGAGGCAATAGTTTCCCATGCATATCTCACCACTACCGTTATTTGTATACCAGTCCCTTAATGTGTGTATGGTGTCGACTGTACCATAGCCCAACAAGTGATACATATTGTCGGTATGATTCCATTATATACAACTTCGACGACAAGTTCCGCTATCTCAGCATGACTATCATCGACTTTGCATCGCAGAAGCGGTTCTTTATATTCCGTCAAACACATTTTTGTGTGAAGATTCTCACCTTCTTCATGTAGTGTCGCCATCTTAAGCTGTACGTGGATTAGTTGTCATCGACCTTCATTGGCTTGTTAATTTCTCATTGATTTACCTCAAGTGGTATTTTCTTCTTAAATTACCTCAGTTGACTCGTATGTGTTGCAACTACCCCGGTTGGGTTGTGTTTGTTGCAGTTTCTGATTCTGTAACCTCAATTGGCTTAAATTTCAACAATATCTATTTAGGGCTATACCTCGCATCGCCTCCCTGACCTCCCAAGTGAGCGATGATGTATCCGAGTGTATTGTACGGTCACTGGTTGCCATGGGCACCCATCCACTGACGGCCAATGAATTGATTGTACGGTCGGATGGGCCAATAAAGTTTGGAGATAATGTGCAGGGAAGTGCATGGCTTCATAACTGTCTACAGAGGTATATATTTCTATCAAAGCATACGTTTGTATGTTTATGTATATGCTTATCAGTCGAGGGCAATACACATGCCTTAAGGCCTCCCGAGGCACGAACACGGACCTCCGCCGTGCAGGGTGTATTAGCATCCTACTGTACTATACATCCACGTTGCACACTAGCTATATCTGCTATCTCATTCCGAGCACTTACCCACTGTCACACTTACCGACTACTTCAAACCACCCACAGCACAAACACAGACCTCTGCCGCACTTCCACGAGCTTGTTGTGCACACTGCATACCACTCTGTCGACAATGGCGGTACAGAAGTCAGACCCTGAATCCGAGAAACAGTGCGAAGCTCTTACCACCGTCATCACCGACGAGTGCAACTCTGCTTTCCTTGCCTCAAAATATAGCGCTAAGGGTGAGTATATCCAGGTGCTGGTACATAGTCCTCTGAAAAACCGATGTTCATCCGTTGTGATCTTAGTTGTGCACCGACATTTCAGAGCACATAATAGTACACGCTCTATTTGCTGATTGTTGTAGCAAGAGCGTAAATATACCACTCATCAATTGCTATTTTTGCACATTGCATCCCATACAGACCCTGAGCCATCCTCAGCAACCTTATCCCTGCTCAGTCAACTTGAGGCGCTCTCCAGCCAGATGTCACCCAGTCTTGCTCAGACACTCATAATCAAGCACAAGGGCACGCACACCGACGGTCTAAGTTTCTCTGATGTTCTGATCAATGTGCTGAGTGTGCATCGGAATGCGCACGTGCGGCTGGTGGTTTCTGCGGTGGTCTCGCGAGTACTGGGCTCGTTGAGTGAGGAGTATCAGCTTATACTTAAACAGGTGAGTGTGTGTATCGTATCTGGCATGGAATACATTTGTAGTATGGCTTGTGACAACATCGACACACGTGAGTGTATTCATGTAAACAAACATATACCTGTTTCCGGAGTCAATACCACATGCATAAATACAAACAAATACTGTTTGGATTTCGCGTCCTCTCTCCTTAATAGGAAAACCAATGTATACTACAACGAGTTCTTGCATAGAAACAAACATCTATTGCATATCTTGGTAGGTGTCCAAGAATGAGTCAGGAGTAATCAATGAGATACGATAGTCCTTATTTTTGCGATGCAGTTAAAGGTGTTTGAACGACCTTTAAACACGCAAGGCTTTTAATTTTTTGCATATATATATTCTTTGACGTAGTCGTGTATGGGTACATGCGTAGTCAGTACATTTAAAAGGTTGTATCACAACAATATTTGAAGCGCTTATTAAACTTTCTTCAATCGCGTAGGTACATAGATGCATACTTTCAAACACGCGTCTATATACATTGCTCAAATTGAAACATATGTCTTGTTATCTTGCACACGTCGTGTATCTCAATGCACCCACAGGCGCTCCTTCGCGTTGTGGTCCAAGGCCTCGATGCTAAAGGCGATATTGTAGCTCAGACACGGGCACTAAGTGTGATCAACGTTATGTTCGTAGCCAGTTTGGTATTGGGCATCTGGCTATTGGATACCGAGGGAGTATTTGGAAAGGTAAGCTGGCGAATTTACCCTGTCGTTAAGCTGATAATTGTGATATCTTTGCTCTTCTATTAAGCAGATATCTCTCGCTTGGTATTCATTATTACACGGTTTACTTTCACTGCAATATAATTGTAAACATTTAGACCCACACTGTGTGCAATGGAACACTCTGCCGTTTGTATGGTATCGTGTTTTCCACAGGTTTTGGACTGCTACGAGCAACAGAAAGTAGAAGAGGAGAAGACCAGCGAGGAGAGCGATGCAGACGATCTAAGAGTGGCACTGCTGTGTGGTGTGTCTGAGGCCCTGAGTCACTACGCGTCCAACAAGAGCAAAGTATGCCTACTTATGAAGGAAAATGTCATCATAACATGGACGAGTTTCAATCGAAAATTTTACGCCTGTTTGTGATAGAATTTCGTGCTCGTAGTGTTAGACCCGTACTAACGCCGAGTGCATGGTGTGCGCAATGCGCATTCGCCTCCAGAAAGCTTGTGTGTACTTTACATCCATGGGATCCCTCTTATACGCCATGTCGGGCCCAGGGCTGCATTTAATACTTGGCGTAAAGTATGTATACAAATGTATGCGTAGACATTCATTTGCGCAGCAAGAAAGTTTTATGTTCTCTCAGACGCTAGCAACGGTACAAGTAGGTAGACAGATAGTTGGGTTATTACGCATTATGCGGTAAACAGGCGGAATTTGCACATGCGACTTGATAAACATATACCATGCTATGTGCGTTCTGGGGCTATTCTGTGACAATGGCAGAGCTTGTTGTCCTGCAGTCTCCAGTGACTCTCAGAACACATATTGCTCGCACCTTTATGATATGGAGAACAGTAGTGTATGCACAACTACTGCAATATAACACCAGTTCTTGGACCTGCACGCGGCACGCCGACAAGAATTAGCTATCCCTCTGTGAGTTCACAGAGGATTAGAAGTCAGTGCACTCTCGCCTCTGTCTTCTCAAATGTTTTTTCTAAATATTCCAGGGTATACTAGTACCAAAGTGAAACACTCCATCTATATATCTCCTACATGCACTCGCATGCCATAATATACATTTCAAATTAGCAGCATCTCCTCATAAAATCTCTACTCCAAAAAGACTACCCACGCCCCTTCAACAGTGTGCACATGATTTTAAAGACATCGTCGCGCTGTACATGCACGAAATCCTGGGGGTGTCTGTGGGTGTGTAGATCTGTCTGACACTCGTGAAATCAACGGTATATATATACATATATATATACCAAAGCTTTCTACCTTACACACTCTCAGCTCACCCTTTTTACTTTCACATACCTTTCTCATTCACCAGTGTATACAACTCTTAAAGAACGGTGTGACGCAACTGCACGAACTATACATGCATGAAGTCCCAGAAGTCTCTGTGCGTGCTTTGGTAGGACTGTCGCGTGTGATGAGTGCTGCCTCCCTCTTGGGCGAGGCAAAGGAATTGACCAGTGAGATGAGCGTGAGCAGGCTGTATGAGGCTGCCGCGACGCTTGTGAAAGAAAATGGGGGTGATGAGAAGATGGGGTTGGGTATGTGTTGTCGCGTTCTGGAGCGTTGTATTACCTGAGGTCAATCAATTGTGTGATATATATGTGAATTCATGATGAACTTAAGTGATCTGTATGAGGCTGCTGCCATGCTTGTGAACAAAAGTGGCGGTGGTGAAAATATAATTTTAGATATGTCTAGTTGTGTGCTGAAGTGTTGGTTTACTTGATATTATTCGGTTGTGTGATATACAACGCATGTGGACTTGAGATTAATATGATCAGACTGTATGAGGCTTCTGTGACGCTTGTGCAGGAGAATATGGGCAGTGAAAATGCGGGTATGGGTATGTTGTGTTGAATATGATATGATTGTCGGATGGTATTTTTCGCTTATAGATATGCCATTCATGTAAAGGTGAGGTTTCTACGTAGTATGATATTTTTATAATCTGCAGTCTGAATAAATCCAGTATCGGTACTTCTGGAAATCAGAAAACGTATGTTTGGGGGACTTTAATTTCCCAAACTTTCACTCGCATTGCTTCCTCTCTGTGAGTGCCTTTCAGTCAAATCCCCTACTCTCTTTTGTATTTTCACTCATATCGCCCACTCTTTCATACAGGCGAGACACGGAGGTGGGCCATTGAGTGCCTGGCAGTACAGAGCATCAACGCCGATGTGAAAGACCTCATCTGCGCAGACAAGACTATCCTGAAGTTTTTGATGGACGAGATGCACGCCACACGTGACCTGGGTGTGGGTGTGGGGCTAGCGAGTATGGTCCAGAATATAACCTGCAGGTGTGTGTGTATCGTGTGATCGACCTGCATGCCGGCTCTTTATGCTTCAATACTTTTGCATTCACGAATCATGAGTTTTCGAGTCTGTATGTATCTTTGTGTTCATGAGGGACGCAATATACGCCACATTTGACACGGGTTTTGAGCCTGCGGTCGGGAGTGTGGTCGAGAATACAACCTGCAGGCATGGGGGTCTTGTTTTAGACTACGAGCAAAAGTGCTCTGTCTGGACACGTGTTTTCTTCTCTTCGTTAATAGTCAATGACTGTGATATACATATGCGTTTTGCTCTGTGCCCGCTTTGTGCCCGTTCCTCGCTTCAATTCATGAACTACCAATGATCTAAATAGTGTGTTGATGGACAGTGTTCACAACCAACGCATTACGGTCACGTGGGCGTATTACCTCAGGACACCCCACATGCAAAGAGCAGGCTGATTTTCCCACTCGAGCGTATATATGCACCAAGTAGACCCTTATTCGCTAATGCACACAGACACGAACATATATAACTGTATGCGTCCTGACATAGCAACGTGATCGTTCTTCGCAGTGTTTGTTTTTGTGCATAATCCATACATAGCCACACTTCATCACCCCTCGCATCCGCGACCGAACTCAGCATGTGCGTCAGAATTTGAGATAGTTCTTTGCTCTATCGGCATAGCTCTAGCAGCATGCTAGTTTAGTCATTGAATTTTTTGATGTCGTTGTCGGGCCCAGTCATCGCATCTACCTGCAATCTGTACCAGCTTGGTTGGCACACGTTGAAGGCATTTCTGCGCACTTGTTGCAGACGTTCTTCACTCTTTTAGGACAATTTTTGAATAATTACTTTAAGCTAACTGAACGCGACCATCTGAGATAAAGACAAAATTCCACCCGCGCGTATCAAGTATTGCCTCCAATAACATACCCACTTGATGTGTGTTGAGTCCACAGCACTCGAAAGAAGCATCTCACAGACGAACAAAAGGAGTTGCAATCGCTCAACGAATTCGCTAAGGATACCATCGAGCGTGAACAGGCCAATGACTCCGCCGAACGAATCGAGGCGCGAGTAGCTGTCTTAACGGAGGCTGATCTTCTACCAGCTCTAGTATGTACTCTACTATCACTTCGCTTCGAAGTACATTGTCAAATTTGTGAGTTTCCGCGAAGTTAATTCGAAAAGGAAGTCATAGGGACGTTCGATGTTCTACTCATACAACTCATTTTGAACAATGCAACTTCACTTTGATGTTTGTGCAAGTTAGTGTTCAAATTTCGTCATTTGCATGGGTACATAACTCGCAAGCACGTCCATATATAAGTATTATCCTGTCTCTACAATACATCCATCGCTCATACCAGATATAGCTAGGACCGACATCTGAGTCATCTCTGTCTATCACTGGGCGCATCACCTGCGTTCTGGTCACTACGGCATCATATGTATATATATACTCACCTATCTCTACAATATATCCATCGCCGACTTCAGGTACAACTAGCTTCAACATCCGAGTCATCTCTGACTATCACAGAGTCCATCGCCCGTGTGCTGGTCACTGTGGCCGCGCAGAAGAGTGCGCGTGGACGGATGGTGGCAAGTGGTGCGCACAACACTCTGCTGAGATGCCATCGTTTGCTCGGGGTAGGCATGCAGGTAGGTATATGCATGTACGTGTGATTAAGCAAAGTGATGTCTAAATGCGCGTGTATGCGTATTTAGATGGGTGGTAGCTGATTATCCGGTGTGGGGTGGGTGATTGGGCGTGTACTTGCGTTTGTTTGGTGGCTTGGGGAATGCACAACACTTTTGAAATATCATCGGTTGATCGTTCCAACTCCAATCGCCATATCAGATGGAAAGTGAGAAGATTTCTGCCCAAGACGCACGTGTGGACACCAGCACACCAACTGTAGCGGAGATGGTCACCTCCGCCTCAGCAGCACGCGCTGAAAGCTATGCCGAGGCTCGAGATGAAGCCGCCCAGGGACTAGCACGTATAGCTATCACACAGGACCCGAACATATCTTTCCCCGGTCAGAAATGCTACGAGTTAATACGTCCCTTAATGGGTATGTGGGTGGACTGTGTGTACGGTTTTGTTTATGGGTGCCATTGTTTTTTTATGGTTGAGGCCTAATGATTAAGCCAATAGTTAAAGTACTAGTTCGTGAAGCTGATTACACAGAACCCAACACATCCTTTCCTACGAGATATGGTCCAATCTAATACTCCCTTGACCAGCTTGTGGACGGGTTTGGTTTATTTGTCCGTATCTCATGCTGTCCACTATATATGAACCTTTTGTCATAGCTCTACAGGTGACCACAATGAAACTGGCATGCCGATACTACGAGTTCGTGTGAGAAATATATTCTTGTCTTGTTGTATGTATGGCATAAACTTGAACTCGAGATGCATTAAACATGTCCACCCTCATTACTCCCTTAACGGTATAACAATTTGCGCATCCAGGTCTATTGGGATCGTTGTCCGAGTTGAAAGTGTTCGAGGGACTGCTGGCGCTGACGAATCTGTCAAGTATGGGCGAGCAAGTGCAAACTGTCATTCTCAAAGAAGGGGTATGTACTCGCAGATTAAAGGATGAGAAAAATTTCAGCTTAGAGTGTATACATTAGCTGTCTGTAACATGAAAGATTCAGATACGGCAAACCCAAACGCAGTGGGTATGCAACAGTATGTAGGCGTGTTCCTATCACTCGCAAAGACCTTGTGGGCCTATATTCTTATATTCTCTGGTATTTATAATCGCACATCGCTCAATGTACTGTAGTTTATCAACTCTTTTATATATCACATAATATCAATTGAAGTGTCCACCCCAACTTGTCAACAATATAATCCTCACACGAGGCATTAACAAGCTACATACCAATTTACCACAATGCGCCACAGAAGTTATCTTACACACACACACACGATCACCTCGAAGTCAGTCACAGTCCCCTTTTCATCCACAGTTATAGCCGCTCTATGTCTATATTCCTTCTTATGTTGTTATCGGAGCATGGATGCGCTGGTATTGCCTCCTCTGCTGACAATCAAAGTCATAATTACCCTGCATCTGTAACTTTATTTGTCACTATAATGATACCAGGGCTTGGATGAGCTGGTAAGGTTACAGCTGGACGATAACGAGCTCATACAACGGAGCGCCACGGAGTGTCTGTGCAATATGCTTCAGCATGATGAGGTGTTCGATGAGTATGCGTACACAGAAGGCAGCAGATTCGGTGATCTCCGCCTATGGACTTTATTATGTGGTAAGCATACCGCGGTCTAGTTTTTTTTGTATACCGTGATATGGTTCTAGCTGTCGTTATACTTGGGGTTGTATGTGACTGCAGGGGCGTATGCGACCATCATGGGCTAGATTGTATCTTTGCAGTTGAATGTACGTGAAGCGCAGTATTCTATTTCTTACTGTCTGGTCCAACGTACATCTGATAGATATTCCATCATATAAATACACCCCAACTACTCTTCCTCACAGTCTCCATGCCTACGTACAATGATGATAGTCTGTACACATACATACTAACCACGTTACATTTCTGACAATCACCTTATGTACTTACAATGGACAGGTTCGGAGGAAGAGGCGTGTGTGATGGCTGCCTCTGGCGGTATTGCTCAATTAACGAGGAGTCCATTCGTGTGCGATGCCTTGTGTAAGTTGGAGCGGGGGTACGAGGGTATTCAAGGTATAGCAACACATGTCAATGCAAGTGAACCAACCCCCATTTTAAGCACGCGCGCACACCGATGTAGGCATATACACGTATATCACACACACAATTGTAAGCACGTAAACACTAATGGAACCACTAAACCACCGACGTCGATACGCGAACTCGACTGTCATATAGAGCAAGCTCTACTCATCGTCTGCTGTGTATGTGATAGTGGCAGGATCAATTGATGTGTCACAGTGCGGTTAAGGCTGCTGTGTATGAGGTGTAAGCACAATTCATTGATATATGTGTCACAGTGCAATTCGGGCCACCAGTGTGTGCTCATGACCCAGTCGGTGCACATCATCACTTACTGCAGATCACATGCTACTGCGAAGACTGTCGATGTGCTCATTGTTATATATTTACTACTTGAATGTTCTACTGCCCTAACAAGAGCACCCAGCCTAAATGTACTAGAATTCGACTTTGTTAGTCATTACCACTTGACTTATCATACATTTTCTAACCGCTAATAAGCGGAACATTGCTTTGTCTAAACAATTATACTTATCACTTAAAGTATATGTTTGCTGCACTTTGCACAATATAAATTCTGAGATTGACGGCGGTCATGCTTATCGGCCCAGTGATGTCAACCCAAAGTATAGTCCAACCGAAGTTACCCATTATCATATGCGTGTATCTCACTTTATTTTCTGTGCGTGTTTGTCGTGTGGTGTTAGCCATGCGAAATGTGACTTCTCGCCGCTGTTGATGATAATGCATCGTACCTTTTTTTCCGCAATTCAGTATGCTATACATAATAGATTGCCTTACTGTTATTGTACTCACCGCAATTTCAAATTCTATACTTAACTGATTGCCTTGCTATTAATATACTCGTTGCAATTTAGAATCCTATACTTGATTGATTGCCTTGCTGACATTACACTCAACTCAATAATACACAGAGCTGATGGTATCGCCGTCTAGCGATGTAGCGTACAGGGGCCTGTACATTTTACAAAATATCTTGTCGCACGAAAACAAGGTATGTTCGATGTTGGCTAAACATGTGAAATATGACTTCTCGCGTCTGCTGATGTTAACCTATAGTATAGCCTATCCAAGCATACACCTGGCGATACACCCCCACACTGACATTGTGCCATCCATGATCATGTACGGGCGCCCATCTTCTACAATGGGCCTGGATGGCTGTCTGTGTACATGCTTGTCGTACAGTGCCCTCGGCCTTTCCGCCCCGATTGATAAATAGTGCTTGCATTAATACTTGCCCTGTACATGTAATTGCAGATTCATCCGCACTCGCATATGTTCAAATGCTCTTAATTTCTATAAAAAAACAATATGTTCTCAACTCAATTCAATGCAGGAACACGCCAAAGCATTCGCCGAGCAACCCAACTCTGTGGAAATCTTATCTGCCCTCGTCGCAAAGCCGGGACAAGCGCCAAACGTTAAACACGTTGCGGAACAGTGCGTGGTGCAACTGGTGTCGATGGGCATTATCGTTCAAGCATGACAAACCAGTAGATCGCTGGGTCTAAGGGGTCGTCAGGATATTGCGAAGTACACATAATGGAATGTGTTATATGCAATAAGCTCGAGTGTGATTTGATGTACTTGTTCATACACTGGACATTGTAAAGTCAATTGTGAGCTTAGTTTTCCTACTACGAGTCATGTGCATATTCGATTAACACATACAATCATTATCGCAAAAGGCGTACTGAACTTTTATCCACGACCAAACAGCAATCTTTAATGAATCCTAATCGCTGCGTATACCCGTGTTCTATGCTAGCTGCATAATTCACTATGAAAGTTAAATATACGTTTATTAACAGCCCCGACCCAATACACACTCTTCCCCTCAGTCGTATATTGTACACATGCCGGACATGCAAGCACCATGCATGTACCATTTTCTGACACTATGTACAGTAATCTGTATACTGATGGTCGCGAGATCTCACGCCCGATCAACCTACAGACAACCTATCTGATAGAACCTTAAGAATGGCGGGGTTGTATGCTGCTCACATGACGTACATGCCCATATACGAGCTAGTATAAAATTGCACACCAACCGCGGGAATTTGATATATAATAGTAAGCCTGTGAGGTGTGCGATGCAAACCAAAATATAATAAACTTGTTAAGTCACCATCCAGCTCTGATGTCAAATTTCCGCATTCACTCGCTTGTTGCTGCTGCTGTGTATGTATTCGCCTGCTGTGCGTGCGCATACATCAGCTTTCTCACAGCCACGCACTCGCCGAAGATTAAACCAGTACAACGACTGAACAATCCAAATATTCTGACACATCATGAAATAATCATTATAGTAGGAGCACGCAACTACAATTGTAAGAACTGGTGGATTCATTCGTTCGTTTTAATCACACGTTTAATACTCGGCACATAAAATTTCCGATAATTCATCTATTCGTATTTGTTCTGTGGCATATGTTATTTAAATTATGCCACTTTCACCTCCGCTTTCTCTTCGGCCGGCTTTCCCTTTACAAACTTGATTGATACGGAGTTGACACAGTGACGTTCGTTGGTATCTGTGAACTTCTCGCCTTCGAAGACATGCCCCAGGTGACCCCCGCATTGACTGCACATAATCTCTATACGTTTCAAACCCATCCTGTATATGATTGGATCAATGAATATGAAGATACTGTGAGCTACAGTACACCATGGCTGCGACGCACGATATACAGATAAAGCACACTGCTGTATGTCAATTCAGTGGACCAAAACAACATTACCATGCCTCGATTATGAGGCCTATCTGGATTGCGTATAGCGATAACCAGTGCGGTGGTACTTTTTAAATGACTGTCGACACGAGTAGACAATGTTCCTACGGAATATCCGATATATACACTGCCACGAATGCAGAACTCTACACAAGAAACATAAGCATATTATCCCTCAGAAAGTCTTTAGTGGAGAAGTTCCTCTCCGTCTCTACTTGTCGAGACAAGTTTTTCTTTCGATCATCGGTACCAATTTGACTCCAACATTTGCCCCATAGAAAATATTATTTTGATACTCCAGCCAGACAAGATTATATTCTACCTCAGCCAATACTGAGTCACACTGCACTCGCACAATACTGTCATACTTATAATGCAACACAATAATACACGGGGGTATGTTGAGGACTTTACGTAGTGAATGCGCAGGACAGGCCAATGACTATACGTAGCGCAGATGCATGCCAGAACACTATACGTGGCGCATAGGTACAGCACAAGAGTGTTGCAAGGTTTAGAACTTACGTTTGGTCGATCTCTGTTGTGATTGAACCCTCGTAGCACTTGTCGAAAGCAGGCCATCCACACCCACTGTCAAACTTCGCCGTAGCTGAGTAGATGGGATTCTTGCAAGCTCTATATTGCACATGCAAAAAAAGGTGGCGACAACATTTATTGCTAGAACAGGAGAAATTGCTAAACGTAAAGTGCAAAGGTAGAAAAAAATACTATGTATATGCTTAAAATCCTGTGATGTTGAATTTGTACCTGTCATATACGAAATTCCCTCTGTCATTATACAACAGCTGCAACGAGAACGTGCAGATATTTCGCTAGCATGACCGGACACTGACGAGAAAAATATATTCCTTCTCGGATGTAGGCCCATAAGCGCGTCACGACACTGGGCAAGGCCTGCTACAGCGCGACAATACATAAGATGAAACATGCCGCATACACAATACTCGAGCGCACTATAGCTGCCCTCCCTTGATATCTACATACAATGTAATGGGTCTCATGAGTGGAGATACTCTTATTTCTAAGGAAAGAGCGAGAGAAAAACATGTCTGTGACAGCAGGGGAGTCCATATAATTAATCCATACGCAAAATACTGCAGATGCACCAATAATCCAAGGTGCACGACCACTTGCTCTCGATAAGTCAATACGAGATTAAAGCTATCATGAACAACTGTATGTATGTGTAAAACTTCTAGGAGTATACCAACCTCACCTGCAAGCGAAGTGGCCCTCGTCAGCCTTAGGATAGAGCTTATTATATTCCCCTGTTCCCGGCGCCTCTGTGCCTTTGTTCCTTATGACATCATATTCCTGTGCAGAGAGCGAGCTCTTCCATTCCGCATCGGTCTTGCTGATGGGAAAACTCATGGTTACTGTCGTATGCTTATATAGGTTGTGTTGGTGTTGAGCCTTGTGTGATGTTGACGTGGTTTTATATCCAAGTCTAAAAGCAAGTAGCTGTGTATGTGTATGATCAGCTGCTCGTGAAGGGAGGTAGATGCGTTTGAAATTTCGTTTGATTGTTTGCCTGAAGAAGCTACCCAAGTGCTGCATAGTCGAGCTTTAATATTGTCTCATGTGGACGTGCACTTCGCTCTTGTTCGCGACACAGGTACATATCAGATATCACGCCAAATTTATCACAGAAACACAACAATACTAAAAAAATGTCTAAAAAAATAAATATGTCATGACCATACACAAATCTGAATGGTCGTGATATGTATTTAGATGCACAATAAAGACAAATATTTACATAAATATGTACATACTTGTCAGGCTACCACATACTTTGTCAGACTACATACACATGTACATTGTTCAAATATCGATGTCATAAGTGATAAATATGCACTTAAGCATTGGCATTTGGGATGTTTAAAAGTATGATTACAGCATTGGCATTTTTTAAATCACTTGATATCGACGTCGCAACGAAATACCAGCAATACATATGTTGTCATGTAGATGTAGACTATTGTGTGCAGAATATGGTAAATTATGTGTGCAGAGTGCGTGTATTGGATCTGAGCCAACAGTTGTACTAACTTGGCTCGTAACGATATCCATCCAACCCGCTGCAAAAGACTTCAAGGCGACACTTGTGATGGACATCGCACTGAATACCGACAAATGTATCACAGCTGAAAGTGCATGTGTTGCTTCACTTTCTCATTCATGGTTTATATCGTGTAGAAATTGTGTATATTTGACTGATTCAAGCCGGTTGGCAGGTTTGTAATACACTTAGCTCGTGGTGGCGTCCATTCCTCCCTACCTCGAATAGTGCAATCCGGATAATCTACAAGGGTGATTGCTATTCGATATTTAAAGCCGTATGTTTTCAAGAATTGTGCGTATGTATCACACACAAACACAATATATATATATATT